AGTTTTTTGAGGAATCTCCACAGTGAGTCCACAGTGGCCAAACCAGTTTGCATCCCCATTAGCAGTAAATTAAGTATTCCCCTTTCCACACATTCATAACTACGTCTGCTGTTATTTATTCATTGAGTAAGTCTTGGTCATTCTGATTGGGATAAGATTAAATCTCAAAGTAGTTTTCACTTGCATTTCCCTGATGGCTAAGGATTTGATGTAAAAAGAATGTTTCCTAGCCACTTATGTTTCATCTTTAGAGAACTTTGTTTAGTTCCATGACTCATTTTTAAATTGGGTTATTTGTTTCCTTGATGATTGGCTTTGTGAATTCTTTGCATATACTATTATATTGAGATATGTCTTCTGTATCCCTATATTCTCTAGGAACTTTATAATGAAGGGATCATGAATTTTGTCAAAAGCCCCTTTTGCATCTAATGAGATGTTCATGTGGTTTCTTGCTTTCTTTGTAGCAAGAATAATAAAAACCCAGAAACAGATATTGGGGTTCAAGCTGAAGATCAGAAAAGCAAAGCAGCCAGTCAGTAGTTCTTACCTCTACCAAGGCTGGAATGGAGATCCTAGCTTCCCTATGATTGGAAACTGACTCTTCCTTGAGACCCTTTGCTTCTTCCTTATATACCCCTAATGCTGGGATAAAAGGTGTAAGCTCTGTTAATCTGTTAGACTGATTCACTCTCATGTAGCCCAAGGTAGTCTTGAACTCTTGCCTCTGTCTCCTGAGTCCTGGGATTAAAGGTGTGTGACACCACTGCCCAGCTTCTATGGCTGACTTTAAATTCTGATCTTCAGTGGCTTTATTAGATCATAAACAATATCTGTTTATATAATGGTTTACATTTATTGATTTCCCTCTAGAACTTGATAATGGTGGATAATACCTTTGATGTGTTCCTACATTTGCTTTGCAAGTATTTTTTGAGAATTTTTGCATCTTTAGTTGTCAGGAGATTGATTGGCCTATAATTTTCTGTGTAGTTGTGGGATCTTTGGTTTCAGTATTAGGGTAATTAAAGCATTATAAAAAAAGTTTGGAAATGTTCCTTCCTTTTCCAAGTTACAGGATAATTTGAGAAGCATTGGTGGTAGTTTTCTGAACATCTTGTAGAATTCTGCATTGTATCCATCTTGTCCTGGGCTTTTTCCAGATGGAAGAGTTTTAATTACTGCCTCTAACTCATTGGTTCTTATGAGTCTATTTAAATGATTTATTTCATCTTGATTTATTTTTGGTAGGTTACAAATACCTAGATATATTTAGGAATTCATCCGTTTCTTTCATATTTTCCTGCTTATTGAAAGTAGGTTTTAAAAGTATGTCCCTGTGATTCTCTGAATCACAGTATCTTTAGTAATGTTTCCTTTTTATTTCTGATTTTACTAATTTTGGTCTGAGAGATTTTCTTTTTGTATTTTTTTTAACTTAGAGTTAAAACTATTGTTTTCCCCCCTCATCCTTACTGAAAATGTCAAAAGAAAAATGAGACCAGTCATGAAAATATGGTGATCCTTTGGCAATTACATTCAAGATGCACATGGGATAGGGATGCTTTGAGATGTGTTGTTAACTTAGTGTTCTAAAACACTTGGGAGCTTCTGGAAAGGTTTGTAATATGTCACATACACCATTTTACCAAGGCAAAGATTTCAACTACAACCTGTGGCTGTTGTGGAAAACAGGGTCCCATATGTGGTGATAAAATATAGACTATAATCAGCAGTTTTAAGGATTATGAAAATTATTATGAAGTATAGGGATCATACAGAAAATCAGTGTTAGCTACGTAGTTACTAGTTGTTACTATGTGTGGCTTTGTTGTTTCTGTTTTCTCCTGTTTATTAACAATAGTTTTGTATGACTATTTTCAGTGCATATGATGAAGATTTATTTATTGCCCAGGGAGTCCAGGCAATTGTCTAGAAACCCCAGGGCTACCCTTGTGACTGTTAAGCATTTGTTCTATGTAGCATTATGATCTCAAGGAGCCGTGACAGCTTCATCCCACGCCATAAGGAGATGACTGTGGATAACCATTAGGGTGTGAAGGCTGCTGTGGTTGGACATGACTGCCAGGATTCATTGGTAGGATCCTGTTCTCCCGAGTCAAGCCTTTAGAAGTGGGGCTTCTGATGTTCCAGGTGAACTGCCTTCAACATGTTGATGCTTGTGCCTATATATTAGTGTCACTGTCAGTTTTGGTCGAGACATATTTCGTTTGCAATGGGCAGTGATTACTACAGAGACTCATAAGTGGTCAAAGTTCTGAGAACAAGTGACTTTTAAATGCTCATACCACATCTATTCTATCCTTACCCAAGGTCCGAGAAATACAGAAGAGGAGATGGGAAGAATTTAAAAGCTGGAGGAAAGGGAGGAGTGTGGTGGTATGCTACCCATGCCCTCTCATTCTAACTCTCAGTAGGTGTGATTATGAACAAGACCTGCATCTGGTTGGGCCCAGCAACATTCTGTCTTGCAGTGGTGGGGATTTCAAGGTCCCACAACTTCCCGAGGCTCTGTAGTGAGTTAATGGCTGTTGGGGGAAGAGATAGATATCACTGGTGAGGTTCTCCTGGTTGCTGACCCAGGCTCTTTATAAACAGTCCTAAGTATTAATTAGGTTGCTCTCTGTTTCCCCAGACCCAATGCCCCAGTCTAGTCCCTAGAGCCACAACAGAATATCAGCTGCAGCCTCCCTTTCCTTCTGCCCACATCTCCTGTGGATCACACAGACTGTTCCCTTCCAACTGCTTGTTGTTGTATCGAAGCCACCAACTCCAGAATGCACCCTCTGCTAAACCACCTACCATACCTGCCAGAAAACAAGGTAGGCTGCTGAAAGATCTTCTCTTTCTCTGTTCCCCCAGGTCCAATCCCCCAGTCTTGTTCCTAGCACTGCAACATAACACCACCAGCAGCATCCCCTACTCCTCGCCCACATCTCATATGGATTCCACAAACTATCCCATCTTAATTCCCTTCCCCAGACTTTTTGTTTTTTCCCAGCTCCCATAGGCATCTCCTGCTAACCCAAAGGCTGCTCCCCTCAGAGGTGTAGGCAGACCCACATCTCTCCTATTGCTCCTGAGATCACCAAGTCCTACTCCAAGCTCTGTAGCAGGAAGCCTGCTGCAGTTTTCCTTCCCTCTCAGACCTCATCCCTAGGGGGTCACAAAGACCTTCTCCTCCAACCTCCCTTCTCCCAACTCTTGCCAATATTTCAGCTTACAAAACCATTAGGCATTCCCTGTGAACACACCAGCTGAGCAGGCCAGGAATACAGACAACAAACAGCTTCACACTCCCTGAAAATCCAACGGTGAAACAGAAACTAAGGAATAAAACACCCACCCAACAAACACAAACCCAGGAATCAGCACTTAGATCTATAATCATCCCAAACTCAAATTCCAACACATGAGTGTAAAAACACAATAAACCATAGCCAGAGCAAAGTATCTCCACTAGAGCCAGCTATTTTACCACAGTTGAAAGACCCCCGAAGAGGTACTTTCGTAGAGGGAGACCCGCACCCAGGAATCAGCGAGACCACGAACTTGGATGCAAAACCGCAAGAGGCTTTATTGGAGATACGGGTACCCGGGCGACTTAGCTTCTGTGAGGCCAAGCGCCCCGAGCCAAGGGAAAGGGGTCCTTATATAGGGAAAAAAGGCGCAAGCTAGGAGCAGGGATTCTATTGGATAATTCTAATGAGGCATTGTACAGAGCTATTCCCATTGGTCAATGTAAATGAGGTGCTATACAGGGTTATTCAAATGAGGCAAAGTACAGAGTTATTCAAATGAGGTGAAACACAGAGTCTTTCAAATGAGGCGAAATACAGAATCATTTCTATTGGATGGTTCAAATGAGACACAGAGCCATTCCAGATCAGCATATTCTCAAGGTCTGGTGTCTGGTACAACAGACTCAATTCCCCCTCCCTCCGCGTCCAGATGGCTGACCTTGGGGGCGGAGACCTTGGGACAGAGTGTTTCTCATCGGGCGGGGGCTCAGGGGCAGGGCTCCAGGCCGGCTCACTTGGTGTTTGTTCTCGTGCCGGCCCACCTGGTGCTCGCCCTCGTGCCGGCCTACCTGGTGCTCGTTCTCGGGCCAGGCGGGCTAAGGGGCAGCGGGGGAAGTGGAGGCCGGCTGGGGGGTGGGGATCGGGGAAGCCGCTGACCGGAGGAGAAGGCAAACTTGAGAAAGAAAGGGCTAAGGGGCAGGGGTCTTTCACAGTGGGCCCTGAATAGTCTACCATAGACAAAGCACAAGAAAAAGGCTTTAAAACCATGTGTACAAAGATAATAGAAGTTCTTAAAGAGGAAACTAATAAATCCCTTAAAGATATCCAGGAAAACACAAGCAATTAGAGAAAAGGAATAAATCCCTTAAAAAAATTGAAGAAAACACAAACAAACAGTTGTAGGAAGGGAATAAAACTGTTCAAGATCTGAAAAATAGAAATAGAAGCAATAAAGAATACATAAGCTGTGGTGATATTTTGTTTATGATCTAACAAGTAAAGCCGGCCTGAAGATCAGGATTCAGAGCTAGACACACTAGTTAGCCATAGAGACCTGGCAGTGGTGGCATACATCTTTAATCCCAGCACTTGGGATACAGAGCCAGATGGATCTGTTAGTTCAAGGCCATCCTGGGCTATATGAAATCGATCCAGTCTAAAAGAGAAACAGAGCCAATCAGTGGTGGCTCACACTTTTTTATTTTATTTATTTTATTTTATTAGTTCAAATTAGGAACAAGCTTGCTTCAGATGTCAATCCCTTCTCCCTCTCTCTCTCCTCCCCCCAACATCCCACCTGCCCCTAGCCATCTCCCCTCCACTACCCAGGCAGGGTAAGGCCCTCAAAAGGGGCTCCCCAAAGTCTACCACTTTGTTATGTAAAATAATATTGTTTTTAATTTAAATAAAAATTCATTAGAAACAAAACAAACAAACAAACAAACAAAAACTACTGACCAGACCTGGTGCTGAGATCTTCTCTAGTGGGCTTAGAGGAAGGAGAGGCAGGAAGCCTTGGGCTTCTCATTGTGTCCCTCATATGTGCCTTTCACATTCTCTATCTGCTGTGCATGGGGCACAGCCTTTGATCCTGAGTGGGTCCCCCAAGATGGAGAATTTGGGCTCCTATTACTGATACCTTGAACAAAGCCTCTGCAACACAGGGCTGTGTGACTGAGATGAGAAACACTTCCTGGGTCACTGGCAGTCACAGATTAGGTATTGGGGATGAGGAAATTCCTGAGATTCTACATGTAATGAGCAGATCTTGAGAAGTGAGCAAGCCATGACTCAGCTGTGTAGACTTTTGAGTTTCTTTCTGATGTTAACTAGATTTTTTTCCTGAATAAATGACCATTCACCAGATGTTCTTAAAACAATCAAAATAGCTCATGCCCTGATTATTGACCCATGTTCATTTTCTAAGATAAGTGTGTGTTGAGATGCAAATTTTGTGGTAATTTTTGGATAATGAATAGCTAATGAATGAATAAGTATATTCTTTCATTTATTGCCTTAAATGAACTATAAATGGCTGCAGGTTTTCTTTCACTTTAAAACCCTCTCATGCTGTATTCCTTTCTCCTCTCCTGGGAGTACAATCTCCAGCCTCTGCCACCTGGACCCCTAAGAAAGCCATAGTCCTCTTCTCCAAAATGAGTTTTGCCATTTATTAATTTTTTTTTTAAATTTTTCGAGACAGGGTTTCTTTGTGTAACTATGGAGCCTATCCTGGCACTCGCTCTGTAGACCAGGCTGGCCTCAAACTCACAGCAATCCACCTACCTCTGTCTCCTGAGTGCTGGAATTAAAGGTGTGTGCCACCAATGCCCAACCTAAAATATTTTTTTACAGTTTTTAAAAATTAATTTAAAAATTATTATTTTTTACATTCCAATCTCAGTTCCCCCCCTCCTCCCATCTGCTTCATGGAGAGGGTGTGGCCTCTCCTAGGAAGTCTACTAAGTCTGTCAATCATCTCGTTGAGGCAGGACCAAGGCACCTCTCCACCTACCACACTCCTGTGTCTAGGCTGAGCAAGGTATCTCTCCATACAGAATGGGCTCTACTAAGTCAGTTTGTGTATTAGTGTTAGATCTTGGACCCACTGCCAATTGTCTCAGTCACACCATTGTCACATATATTAAAGGAGTCTAGTTTTGTCTTATGCAGATTTCCCATTTGTCAGACCCATCACTAGCTCCAGTCAGCTGTTTCTGTGGGTTTCCCCATCATGGTCTTGACGCCTTTGTTCATATTATCGTTCCTCCCTCACTTCGACTGTAGTCCAGGCATCACTCCTCCCTCACTTCAATTGTACTGCAGGAGCTTGGCCCATTGGTTAGCTGTGGGTTTCTGCATCTGCTTCCATCTGTTTCTGGAAGGGGGTTCAAGCGGATTGTAGGCTGGATATCTTTTGCTTTATGTCTGGTATCCACTTATGATTGAGCACATACTATATTTGTCTTTCTGATTTTGGGTTACCTCACTTAGGATGCTTTTTTTTTTCTAGTTCTGTCCATTTGCCTGTGTATTTTAGGATGTCATTGTTTCTTACCATTGAGTAGTATCCATTGTGTAAATATATCACATTTTCTTTATTCATTCTTCAGTTAAGGGGCATCTAGGCTGTTTCTGAGATCTGGCTATTACAAATAATGTTGCTATGAACATAGTTGAGCAAATGTCCTTATGGTGTGAATATGTCTCCTTCAGGTATATGCCCAACAGTGGTATTGCAGGGTCTTAATTTTCTGAGAAATCCACAGTGGCTATATAAGTTTGCACTCCCACCATCAATGGAGGAGTGTTCCCCTTTCTCCACATCCTCTCCAGCATAAGCTGTCATTGGTGTTTTTTATTTTAGCCATACTGATCCATGAGGGATGGAATCTCAGAGTGGTTTTGATTTGCATTTCCCTAATAACTAAGGATGTTGAGCATTTCCTTAAATGTCTGTCTCCATTTGAGATTGTTCTGTTGAGAATTCTCTATTTAGGTCTGTACCCCATTTTTTAAATTGGATTATTTGGTAGTTTGATTTCTAGTCTTGAGTTCTTTGTATATTTTGGAAATCAGCCCTCTGTCAGATGTGGATTCGTGAAGATCTTCTCCCATTCTGTAGTGAGATGTTTTGTCTTGTTGACTGTGTTCTTTGCTTTATAGAAGCTTCTCAGTTTCAGGAGTTCCCATTTATTAATTGGTACTCCCAGAGTCTGTGTTACTGGTGGTCTATTTAGGAAGTGATCTCCTGTGCCTATTCGTTCAAATGGATTTCCCACTTTCTTTTCTGTGAGGTTCAGTGTGGATGGATTTATATTGAGGTCTTTGAACCATTTAGACATGAGTTACTAAAATAATTTTTGAAAGTTACTTGGTATGTAGAAGTCTGCTGCAGACCCCCTAATCCTTGCCGTGTATTGAATGGGAACTGTTTCCCACAGGTTGGATCCCAGGCTGGTGCTGCTATTTTGGGAGGTTTGTAAAACCTTACAGGGGCCTCCATTCATACTGAGACACAATGATTTTGTCTATAAAGCTGATCTTTGAGAACTGCACAATAGTCTTATTAAAAAACAT